TGATTGCCATGATTGGCGTTGCTGATTTCATCTTTCCCCATTTTGTTCCTTTTGATTGTTCTTTTTTCCTCATCATTTGGCCACGGGCATAAGGTAAGGATCATCCCCGCTGCAGTATACTTATTCAACTTGATACATGCCCATCACACATGCGTTGATGTGATGCGCCCGCATTGGTCCGCCCTCTAGCCTCATGTGATTAATTAACCGCGGTGCATCCTCTGCTTCTTCAGCCGTCCAGCTGGCCGGCTGGCTGACCGTCTCTCTACCTGAGGCAAGGAGCCGGGCCAGAAACTTGGCAGACCTGGCTCCCGAATCATGGTGCTCGTGTTTCCGATTCACAACCAACCCTGGGCCCATCCTTATTATGGAGAGAGAAGTGGGCTGGAGTCTCAACGACCTTCACTCCGCTCTTGACAGGCGAAGGACCCTTGGTTGTGGGTTATGACGCACTGGGCTCCGCAACATTGATCGAAAGCGAGCACCTGCATGAGACTAGGTTGGTTGTCATCCGCTACCACTCCCCCATTGTTAGCTTCGAAACCATCAAAAGCGCCGGTTTTCTTTGGGCGGGCAAGAAATAGAGCGAGAGCCTGGGGAAGGGGAGAAGAAACGGCGAGGTCGATGAAACCGCATCTGTTGCAAGTGACGTGCCAGGGTTCGGGATAGCGATCTACTGCCACGCTCTAGAGAAGGAGACGAGCTTGCAAGGGAGTCGAGATAGGATTGCAACGATGGCCCCCTTCTCCGCCCGGCGTCTCCGACTTTTGCAAATACGATTGGAAGTAAATCCCCGAATCTCTACATACTGCCTGCTGATACCACCACGTTGCTTGCAAGGCCTGCTGACTCGAGCTTGGCTGGTCTCGAAACTGCAAATGCTCACCCAACGGCCCCTCCCCCCAAAAACCCCCTTCGATCCCGCTTAGCACGCCCAGCTAGTGGTAAAAGAAGGCCAGGCGAACAAGCAATATCCCCATCCGTCCCTCATCGCTTGGAGCTAGCTCAAAACTCGCCTTTCAGTCCCCTTTCCTGCTATTAGTCCCCTTGCTTATATCTGCGACTGGATAGCAATGCCGGGATGCGCATTGCAGGGGGAGAAAAAGGAACATGTATTCCAGAGCACAACGTCGAACCTTGCATATTTTATATGCAGGTTCCGAGTGCAGATCGTTGCCTCGGGAGTCGATTTTCTCCAGATAGCACTATAAAGCACACATGAGTGTGTGTGCTATTTCTGCATTGTCAGCTCCTGTGATAGTGGCGGAGGTGCAGCATCATCACTCGTAAGATCAAGGCCAACAGGAGGCTGCTAGATGATAAATCATGATATGAATCAATGAGATTGACAGATGATAGGCTTGTCAGAAATAGCGTATACATAACACTAAATACATTATTAGCACATGAAAAAAAAAAAAAAAAAAAAAAAAAAAAAAAAGGCCTCTCCAATATTGGCAATAGGCGTGTGCATCAAATCGGCGAACGTATGATCTGACTCGTCTAAGTGATCTATCACATTGGGGGATAACTTGTGTGGGTGCTTTGTACTTGTATTATTCCCAAGATGTACAGAGCGCTATTACATTTCCCACCAAAAGCCAAAAGGCCCTCTGTCGTATATCCATCCGTTTAGCCATCCCCGTCTCCATCTGGAAACGTCGATAAGAAAAAGAGAGGTGTGTGTGCGAGCGTTTTAGGAGTGCTGGGTCTAATTATCCACATCTCGAGGGTTTTACCCATGCCAGATGCAACGCTCGACCGGGGATGGGCTGAATTTCTCGGTGGGCAAATTAACCCCAAAATCCTCCTGTGGCACTTCACTGCGCAGTAATAGATGGGTAATATGTGAGCCGTGTGTGGATGTATACGAGGATCATACATGCATGCCCGTGAATACCTTCTCTCCAGATCAGGGCGCGCCTGATCCAAGGAAGAATCCGGAAAGGCCTGCAAATGCAAAATAGGCCCTTTTTTTTCTGAGAGAGAGAGAGAGAGAGAGGGCACCCACCTGACGGGTAGGGTAGGGGGCTGTGACATCAAGATGCAGCGTCTGCAAATTGCTGTCGACGGGTGGTCACCCCATCTTTTCTTACCCTCCCAAAGTGTGCGATGGTGAGATGAGAAGTCCCCCCCAATCCATATCTTGGCTTGCCAGCAAGCTTGGGGATGTGACAGGTTGTCATGTGTCGTATCAGAATAGACACGTCTTTGACAAAAAGAAAGGAAAAGCAGAAGGGGGAAGAAGAAAGAGGCTAGGCAGGGACACGTTTGGCAGCATGGCATGTCGATAGCGCGTCGACACACCACAGACGACACACACACACACACTTACGTTGGAATGTCATCAGCGTCGATGTGTAGTGTAGGTAGCCAACTGTCAGGGCGGGAAAAAAGCAACATGACCTCGACTCTGTGGAGGATGTGTGGCCGCTCAGAGACACGCTGGCCGCCGACGTGATCCTCTGATGCGTTTTTTTTGTAGATGGCTCACATAGCAGAAGCACGCTGCGTGTCATGCAAAAGTGGGACCTGTCATCTGGGGTCTGTTACCGATCGATATCAGCACCGAAGATGGCCCTCTGAGATGGGTGGGCGAGCGAGTGGAGGAAGGGGGGACGGCCAGAGGTGGTTTACGATGGCTCGATGGGAGGGGGAGGGAGGATCCTGGCACTGCCGCTGGCGAACAAGGCATGGATCCTGGGGCAAAAGCTTCGAGAGGACAAGGGAAGAAGAAGGGGGGTGGTGGAGCGGATTAGCTGAGACGGACCAGACAGCGGATGGGGGTTTGAGTCGGGGCTGGGCGAGGAGTCGAGGGCAAGCGGTACCTCGCGGCAGGTACCTGGTACTTGGCGGAGCGTTGCCGCGCGAGGCACGAGGACGAGGCAGGCACGTCTGGGTCGCTGGTACCGGATACGGATTGTCGGTTCCTGATCTGGTACCTTGCCTTTGCTCAATGCTACCTGCGTCGCCCGTGTGCGTAGCATCACCAGATCCCAAGGCTCTGCCTCGATGGGCGGCCTTCGCTCCTCGCATCGCATCCTTCGTCCATTAATTGCCGAGGAGGAGCAGAGCACGGCCGACGGGACCCCAGCGCATCGGCCTGAGGAAGCTGTGGTCAAGGTCAATCCCGGAGGAAGTCCGATGCAACGCTCCAGCTGCCCTGGCCAGTCATCGATCTGGCATACGCACAAGTGTGGCACGATCCATGTCAGAGTTGCATGGTTGCGCTGGGAATGATCAGGCCACACTGCCACCCGCAAAAAGAGGCCAGAAGGGGCGCCAGAGCGAAGCGGCGGTCGCGCAGCGCCAGTCGATGCACGCTGCGAGGGAAGAGACAGGGTCTCCGAATCTGGGCCTGGGTTTGGCTGTGGGAAAGCGGGGGATCCCTCTGCCCAGGCAGACACAGATCAGGCGATGCGACAGGGATGCGCAGGCATTCAGACATGAATGTCGTTCGATTTACCCTCCGCGCGACGGGGCTCAGTCTTCCGCGCACAGCCAAGCATGCCCGTCAGTTGGCCACTTGGCCGCAGCCTGCCCTTCCTGCTCCTGCTCCTGCAGACTGACCTTGATTCGCTCTACGAGATCTAAGCGAGCTGGTCCGCGACGCGCCGCCGACGCTGTGCTCGTCCTCGGCACCGGCGACTAAGCATCGGCAGCGGTGCTCACCTCAGGGCCGGATTATTGTGAAACCCACCTGGGGATTGTGATCTCCCTGGGGGCGGTCGCTGGCCCAGGACGACGCGGACGAAAAGTACGTGGGACTACCACGGGCTTTGCCGGCCAACGATCTCGATTAAGTAGCCGCTTCCGCCTCGGCATCGTCCCATCGCATCTCATCTCGACCTGGTTGTTGGGCCAGACCAAGCTAGCGTTTGTAGGAAAACCCCTGCTAGCCGTACCACACTCGACTTGAATCCGGCCTTCTCAGTGGCCCAGCCCTCCTGCACAACCGTTGAGACCGCAGCGGAAGTACCCTTATTGCTGAGATTGTCAGCCTGGGTGGAGCTGGGCTCTACCGACGGCCAGAGTACCCAGTTGCCTCCGGAGCTTTCAGGAGGCTTCTGGACAGCTTCTCTCCCACTTGCCCCTGTTCATGGGCTTTAGCTTTAAGATGTTCGGGGGAAGAGCATCGAGCGCCGCCCTGCATGAGAAATTACACCCGATCTACGATGACGGATGCGAGTCCCAATCACATCAAGTCAAATCAAATCCGCCGTCGCGAGGAGAGCCAGTCCCATTGACGACGACGAGCCCGATGATATATCGTCACTATGCGTCTAGCTAGTCGTATCGCTATCGATTGCCCCTGCACCGCTCTGCAGAGTTTTCCATCCTCGCTGCTGGCCCGGGGGTTGACGCAGACGCATTCCTAATCATGAGATGCTCACAGGTCGTGCTGACCCATTGAGCAGCACATTAGTTTCTAGTGGCTCTGAGCATCCCAAGGCTCAATAATCTCAATGCATGCAAACTAGCAATCGCATCACAATTCAGCCAGGCTGATCCATGGACAGCTCGTCCTGCATACATACATACATACACACATGCCCAGCATCCCACCCCGGGTGCTGCGACCCAGCAATAGAGCAGAAATCTCCCGGGTTCTCGTTACTTTTTTCTTTTTTTTTCTTTTTAGTCGCATGATCGACCCTGACGAAAGTGGTCGAGGAGCTCCAAGATGGCCTGATGAAGTGAAGTCCCCCCTCCCCACCGCCCCGCCCTTTCGAAAGCGCATGCAGATTCGCATGATGTATGTAGGTGATGGATGGATGTCCACGGCTCAAGGCCAGCCAGAATCCCATTTCCATCGGGCTGGGTGGCAATGGCTAGTCCCACCCACCCTGGCGATAAACTGCAAGGCCGCGAACTCTTCCAGGCCGCTTGCCAATCAGCCGCCCGGAGATATCAGACCATTTCAATGCGACTTGTGATGCATGTATGTACATATGTGATGTACTAAGGCTACGCGGAGCCCATCACCTCTCGGAGTCGGGATGGGAATGCGACGGCTACAGCGACTGGAGCGCTCACGAGACCAGCCGATCCCGGGTTATTACGAGTTAATCGATCCAGGTCCTTCCGGCCTGGACGTGTCGAGATTCCCAATCTCCTGGCCGGCTCGCATGCAGAATGCTTGTGCGAGTAGCGGTCGAGGACCCTGCTACGCTAGCATAGATGATGTTCATACTCGACCGACGCAAGCAATGTAATTCATCCCCACAACCAGTATCACCCCTTCCCTATCTGGTAAGTACCGGTCTTCATGAACCATTCCATTTCTTAGGCCCTTTCTTAGGCCCTTTCTCTAGGTAAGCATGCTAAATAGAGCCACCCAGTGCCGAGATACGGATCATCGTCGAGCTCTGGGCTGTGAAACACCCGCCCACGTTAAAGACAGTCCTTGCTAACTACAATCCCGGCCAGTCTCATTCCTCATCCAAGGACGCCAGTGCCAATGCGACAAGCGGCTCAGTTGAAGACGTTACGGTGGTATCCTCTCAAGCCTCTGTTGGGATAAGCCTCTTGCAGCCTCCGTCCTTGGTTGCTGGCGCTGGCGCTGGCGCTGGTGACAGCTCACTGGCGACGACAGCGCACAATGGACCAAAATGAGCGTCCATCACCATCACGGACTCCGGTGGCCGTCGTCCAGTCGTTCATCCTTGGGTGCGGGCGGGGGTACTGGAGTCCAGACTCTACGATCGACGGGACCCTTTGCCAAGACGTCTCCTCACTCCCTGGCTCTCGCATGCCACTTCTCAACACATGGCACTGACATTCAGCAACGAGGCCACAGCTCGACTTAGTGCTGGTGATCCTCCGGCCAGCTAGCACGACGAGCTCACAAGTCTGCCTGTATGCCCGTCTTTCAGCCGGACCGGAAGACTGTCCTAGCTTCTGGGACTAAGTTGCTAGTTGTGCGAACTAGGGCACCAGCGTTCGATTCTGAATGTCCCCAGTCCTTGGTCTGGCTTGGATCAGGCGCCAGGGTGATGCAGTAGACTCTGCGCCGACTGACTCGCTCACACAAGCTCATTACCCACAGCGAGACGAAGGGTTTTGAGGGTTCGCGAAATTCGATCGGTGCCGTGCCGCCAGATCTACGAGCACATCATGGGTAGTGACCGATTTCTCCAGATAGCCTGCAGGCGTCCTCAGGGTCCAGGTCTGGCCCTCAATGGCACCGCCAGTGTCAGGTTGGCCGCGGGCATCCTCGTGGTGGTCTGTGTGACCGAGCCAGCGCCCCCGAGGATTCCTCATCTCAGCTCGCCTCTCTCACCGCCATCGTCTGCCTAGGTCGGTCCTTTGACCATCTTGGTCACGAGTAATGAGGGCCTTGAAAGTTATACGTTGGGTGGCTGGGCTTGGGTGGCACTGCGGGTCACGACCGTAGGTGGCTCTCAATAGTGCATAGTGCGGGAGGGATCGCGGAGACATAGAGTTAAGAGATGCGATACATGCTGAGAGATTTCCCGCCAATTTAGCAAGATTGGATCCGATCAGTGCGCGTGGACCAACGGGCATCGTTCTAGCTGCAGATTGGCGACGACCGAGCGCTCGCGTCCTGACCAAGGAGAGAGCTAAGCCACCTAGGCTCGGATATCAACACCCTATTACGGATTGTGAGGAGCCCAGGCTCATTCGCAATTTGGCGGTGTTGGCCTTGACCATCCCTTGCGACTTAATACTGAGCGCACGCTAACTTGGGGAGTACCAGTACCAGTACCAGCTCTGCTTAGCTGTGTGGGACAAGAGCGTGTTCAATCTCGTCGGCCATCATCACGGATGAGTTCGAGGGAGGGGGGGCCGATCTCACTGGCTCCATGCCGTGTATGCACACACCTCCTAAGCAGCTCCGCCTGACGATGCAGTCGGTCGGTTCGAGCAGTCATACCCATCCCACGGATGGGGTCTGAGTCGGCACCACAATCCAGTTGCGAACAGGCAAGGCCGAATGACCATTGGAACCCCCGCAAGGTCGCAACTCGATTCTCAACCAGCTGGGCAATGGGAAACGGTGGATGGGTTGCGCTATTTACATGCTGGCAAGCTGGATATGCAGCTGGTGCAGTAGCCCGTCTTCCTGGATGCTTCGGGGGCAACCTGATTTGGCGGGATTGGGCACGATGCTGATCCCAGATCGCCAGATCGTGCAGCGCATGGTTGGGCTACCGATGCTCCACTAGGTACAAAAAGGACTGGGAACACGTACGTGGAGGTGTGGTCAGGGAGGGAAGGGAAAAAAGCCACCGCGGCTCAGCCAGTGCGGAACGCATGTATTGTCACAATCCTGTATGGACCAGACATTGGGCACTGAGAGCACAGCGGGTGTCTGTCGTGTCACGAAAAACGCCTTCGGGTTGCGACAGTTGCGTCAGAAGGTCCCTTCCATATCCTGCAGGCATGTGATTGGTTTATGTTGTGTCGCCCGGCTGGATAAGCATGCATGGTTGTATCGATGGATGAGTCTGACATGGCTGGCTGGCTTTGACTTTCTCAACTGCATACAATATACAATGCCAAGAGACAAGATTATAGGTCCGTATCAGCCATGTAGTTAATGATATTTGAGTTCAATTCACTAAGCAGCCATGTAGATTCGAAGACGCGTATACGCTGTGTGATGTGATGTGATGTGATGATGTGACTCTGACCTCGGAGGGGTTGTCATATATCGGATGCCAGCTTACATGCGGACCAGCGTGATACACAACTCGCCCGGTTGAAGCCCTCATGTCGCTGCGACGGAGTTGGCGCAGCATAAGCCGAGTCATCGAGTCGGAGGCTCGGTGTTATGATCTCGCATCACGAATCCATACGTTCCCAGGCTCGGTTGATATCAAAGATGATATGTGAACGAGACTCTCGTGTTTACGATACGATATGACAACTAGACAGCCAAGAAGGGTGGTCAGAATCAGTGATTGGTTCTGAGCCTTGCTTCTATTGTTCCGGGTCTTCTTTTTCTAAAGAGGAGAGCGGCTTCTTGATATTGGCCGTGTGAGGCTGGCAGGGACCTGCCGTGGCCACACTGGGGATATTCAGTGACGCTGGGACTCAAAGAGTCGATATGTGCTTCCTCTGCGGGTTGCCCTATCTGCTTTTTAGGTTTGTATGTCACACGCTGTACGTGTTGTGCAACTACTTGTTCAGGCTGCTCGATGGAGGTTTCGAGAAATCTGTATTTCCGACCTTTCTCCTCCATACCCTTGCTGCTTTGCCCCGAGGCGGTTAGCAACAGGCTTTTGTGTAAATATGATTCATATCATACGTTGATATTACACGGTCATTATCATACACCACCCGAGTCATAGGAGCCAAGGATCTAGGAAGTCTGGAAGCATTGAGACGCCAGGACCAGACGCGCCAGAGGACCCGGCAGGGGTTAACGAGAAAACCCTGAATCCCAACACATCTGATAACACAGAGGAGATATAAGTGAGATCTGCAAAATAGTCCATGGACGTGGAATGAAAAGGAACTAATGGAAATGACAGAGCACAGTCCACGCGGAATCATGGCCGTTTGCCACCTCAGACCCGTCCGTCCGTCCGTCCGTCGCCTTGGCCGGTGCGTTTGGGCAATGAGAGAACAACTCCTCGTTGAGATGATGATTTTCTCGTTAAATGATCAGCTCTCAAGCCTCCTTATGCTCGACGGGTGCTATGACCTCGACCTTAGGGGGGCCGATGGGACCTCTTTCCATCCCATGCCTACCGAATATGACCGTTCATATGCGAATAAGTTTCTCTTTTGCTGTCTGTGGTCAGCAGCCCGAGATCGGGTTGACGTACTGTGCAAATCAGTTCCCTCGGGATGGCCCCGATCCAGCCTCCGCCGGAAATAAGGCAAACGCGTGCTAGATGGATGATATCCTGATCTCGCGCCTCCAAGTGGGTTGGGGAAGGGCAGGCTACCGGGAAGTGGTCAGGTTGTTTCCCATGTCAATGCCTGACCGTTGGCTGATGGGCATGGACGACTGGGAAGACGAAACAAAGAGCCAACGGGTTTTCTGGGACATGACATGGGTTGCTAGATGAAACCGCCAAACCTAATCACAGGGTTTACCCTACCTACCCCGGGTGGTTTGTTGGGAGTGACAAGGTTCCATCTACCGTTGGTAATGGGGTTGTGATTGCCTGCTCTTGGCCGAGTTCGGGTGCGAGTTGATGATCTGACCGTCTGATGTTACGTTGGGAAACTGTCAAACAACGCAATTACATCACGATAAAACCCAGAACGCTAGGCTGATCCTCTACGCTACCCATGGAACTAGACAGGAGATTCACTTGAACGCAAAAGAAGAGATGGCCCTGGAGTGACATGTCTGGTATCATCCAACATGCAGGGTAGGCTGATGCTCGATCTGGGGAACAAAAGCAACGCGCCATCAGAACCCCGAATAGGGACGTCCTTCCCAGCTAGCCAAGGCCCAGGAAGATCGACGCCGTTGTTTGGCCATTGCTAAGCGAGGCGGTCCCCCTGGCCAGGAAAACCAACCCAAGCTGTGGAATTTCGCTGATGGGCGCCCCATCCGCCGTTACGCTGGAATCCCCTCTCCTCGGCGTCGGGTGCTGATCCAGCAGAATGGGCCAGAGGAACGAAAGTCGCTATCAGCATCTAATTAGACCCAGGACAATGGGCTGTTGGTTCATGGGCATGGGCATGGGCATGGGGAGGGGAAAAGGTAGGTAGGGGTGGCCCATCCGCGAGTCAATATGGTGATGGATCCCTGGAGAGTTTCGACCGCGATGGCGGCGACGGCGTGGCTTCACTTCATCACGCAGGCGATGCTCGTATTCACCAGCTGCTCTGGCGCAGGATCTGGGCCGGTGGCTCATGTAACCATGGCCAGGCCAGCTCCGGGGTCTGTCGCGTAGGCTGATAGAGCAAAGCCACCAGGAAGGGGAAACGTGAGGCTACTAGGTGATTGCTACCGGGCCTAGTTTGACGGAGGGCAAGTCTCAGCGAATCGCAAGAGCCCCGATTCCTCAAGCCATTGATTCATGTAGTATATCCCCCCCTGAGCTGAGCTGAGCTGAGGCTCGATGGACAAGGCCTGTTTCTCCCGGTTGAAAAAAAACAAGCCCTGGGACCCTGCCTGAGCATCACTATTTTAGCCCCATCTGCGGGAGATTGAGGTCTCTCTAAACGCGTTTCCTAGCTCGAGCACTTGAGCCTAGCCAGAATACATCATCCCAGTCCAACGACAAGGGACGCTACCAAGAGGGCGAGACCCGGGGAAGGCAAACCCAGCTTGCCTGTATGCAGGAATCTTGCCCAACTAATACATACAACCAACAATGTGCCGGGTACGTAGCCTATCTATCCCCCTTCCCCCGATTCACCCAAGGGGAAAAAAAGCAAACAACAAGAACGATTAGAAGCCCCGGGGGCCATGGCCAGCGGATGGGACATGCTGCATTGCCGTCTCGGTCCCCTGAACTGCAAGCAACGGCCCAGTCGTGCATAATGCAGACATTCGCATGCGTCCAGCAGCACTAAGGTAAGAAGCATACAACCTAGAAACCCGTGACGGCGCTGCACGTCTTACTTGCCTGTGCGCGCGGTCGGCCGGCCGGCTGGCGCATGAAAAAGTAGACACCAGAGCGATATGGCCGTCGACGGGGCCAAGTTATCAAGGAGGAGAGAGGAAAAAAAGCAACGTTGTTGTGGGGATCGTGATATTGCATCGTAGATTAATCATGCACTCCACCAAACCTCATCCATTATCGCGCATACGCGAGCTACGACGTAGTTTAGTACAGTAGGGAACAGGGGGGGAACACTTAGAGGGAGAGAAAAAATCCAAATGAGAGAAAATATCCGCTTTGGGCTCTCTTAGGGCCGGCACTGAGGAGGCATCCGAGGAAGAACAAGATGATGACGGGATCATCTCCTCTACGCACGCACGCCCCCCCCCGTGGAAGGACGGTAGTTCTTGCGGGTGGCGGCGGAGAGGAGATGATCAACCAAGGGAAAGGGAGAGGAGGGAGATGCTCTCTTTCCGCCGGCTTTGTCCCCCTGTACACGCACACAGAGCAGAGAGAGGCCACCATCCTCAGCCAACAGCTAACGTCTGAGCCCCGGCATCGTGCAGGGCCGTTTTCTGTGCAGGCCCTTCTTTGACAGCCGCGGGAGCAAACCCCCTCCCCTCCCCCTGGCCGCCATGGCAGTGTTCCTATTGGCCGCTCCCGATGCTGGTTTCTGCCGCTTTACTCCTGTAGGTAGGTAGCTCAGGCGAGAGCTGCGGCAAGGAGGAAAAAGAAACGTCGACCTGAGGAGAAGAAGGAATCAGGCGAGAGAGAGAGGAGGCGCGGTTATTAGACTTTGTGGCCACATATGGTGTGTGTACGTGCGTATGTGTGTGTTGGCCGTGAATGTGACAAGCCAACAGCAATATGACTGGAGTTGAGCAAGCGAGCGAGACGAGATTGAGGTGGCGGAGGGAAGAGGAGATATGCCATATCGCAAGGGCCGAATGTAACATGATACATGACTTACATGGATGGTGGATGTGGTGACTGGTTATGTTCTCTCCTCAAGCGCATCACCAGCGTCCAACGTGCGAAAACGTGACTGCATATCACTGTAGGGGTCTCTCTCAAGCCAAGTTGCTATTGGCATGTCATATTACAGCATCCACTACCTTTGTAGGTGGACATACATACGGCAGGGAGCCATACATTGGACCCAGATTGCCAGACTCCCATGGCAAGACGGTATGAGAAAACCGCTTCTCTACTGTACGCGTGCGAAAAGCCTGCCGGCCAAGTCACGGCGAGTAGTCACACCACCACTAACACCATACCGCATGAGAGAGATGACAAGAAAACAAGACAAGTCAGCACAGAGTTGATAAAAAGCAAAAAGCTGACTGCTAATAAGTGGTGGTGATAGTGGCTGAGTATGTGATGTGTGACAGACAAAAGGGGGCGGCGTAGTTGTCAATCATCTAGGCAGGTATGTTCTTCCGTTGATATGTAGTAGGTAGGTAGGTAATAATATGAGAAGAAGATGTGTCTGAAACTCTCCCAATGCGCCTAGGTATCATCACAAACGTCAAAGCCTTCCCCCAGAACAAAAACAAAGGAAAGAATAATTAATAAACATAAGAAGCCTCGTTCAATCGTCCCGCCCACGCGTCAGATCAGATCCTTGCCTTGCCAACCTGGCTCTCTTTCCTTTCTTTTGTCGATCTCACTAATACTATCCATGGCGAATCCATCCGCGGAAACCCACAATAGGGACTATTGTCACCTCTAAATAGCCCCGCAGCCGCCATGCTACTACTAGTGTCGTCTTTCCGCAGATGCAAAACAAGCTGGTTGATGTGTAGCGGCTCGGAAGGGGGATAGAGGCAGTGGAGGACGAGGGTGTGCGGATGCGAAGAGTCGAATTAGGTCGGCGCCTGTATATACAGGGCCGTGACCAATGTGATAGATAGTAGGTGATGTGACATGTCCTGTATGATACAAATCCAGCCGCCGCCGGCCAAAGTGTCTGTTCTTACTGGATGCTGTACGAACTGGTCAGTAACGAGTACACAATGACCTTCCACGGCATGATTTTTCGGTTCTGATGGGCTTAGCGAAAAGGAAACAAGTTTTGTTGGTTGCTTTTGACGCCCTTGTGGGGTCGTCCTAATATTTGCCAGTCGTTTGTTTCATAATGTCCCGTACTTTCTTTTTTTAAATCATCCAGAGCCAAAACCAAGAACGACTCAATCATTATCTGACATGGAGGCAAACGACCACAGGCTTAATATGTAGCAAGTGAAGGCCTGGTGATGCAAGCGTGTGAGTGTGAGTGCAAGTGTGTGTGTGGGTATTTGTGTGCGGCGGGTATTGCGGTAGATAAAAGTGATGGTGTGGTTAGGATATCAACACGAACCACCCAGTTGAGGAGTACATTAGGTGCGAGGGTAGAATTAGCCGCTATTTTAAGGGAGCCCTTACAGGATTAACTGCTTCAGATTGCGCTGGATGATCATATCCTGCACCGAGCCCATGGTGATCTTCAGCAGGTTGGTGTCCGTGGCGTTGGTGAAGTGTCCGTAGATTTCCTTCTCCGGGTTGCGGTTCAGCGCCCTGAACTTGTCCAAGAAGTACTTACTCGCGGAATCAGCATCAGATGCCGGGCCCGCGTAGTCAGTAAATCCGTAGTCGCCAATCGGGCTTCGGGGAAGCTTCTCTCGGAAAAGGTCCATTTTGTTCAGGAAAAGAATCAGAGCCGACTTGGTGAACCAGTGCGAGTTCACAATCGACTCCCACAGCATGAGAGCCTCGTTCATTTGGTTCTATAGACAACTGGTTAGAGGGGACATAGTTTTAGGTACTGCCTGCAGGCAAGTACGTGGGCGATACTCACTCCGTCCTTGTCTTCCACCAGACACTGATCATAGCCGCTGATAGCAACCAAGAACAGTAGGCAGTTGACGTTCTCGAAACAGTGAATCCACTTCTTTCGCTCTGATCTCTGGCCACCAACATCAAACATCCGGTAAGTCAATTGACCCAGGTCAAATATCGTTTCTGTGATACCTGTTGTTCGTAGTCGCGAGCGAAGGAGATCTTGGTCGTTGGGCACGTAGTCGACTGCCCACAATCGATCGACATCCTCAATGAAGCTACACACGTTGCCATGTTAGTCACGTTCCGACAGCCAGGTCAGGCAGTCATCAACCCACTATGAGAGATTGTCGTGTAAGGCGTATTCGTTGCCCTTGGCGATGGCAGCCTTGACACCAGCGTCCTGCCACAGCGCCTTGACAGGCTCGAGATAGTCAAGAGGCATTCGCTCCTCCAGACCGATTTCGCGCTCAATTAGCACGAGCGCCATGTGTTTCTGTTATCAACCAAATTAGCCAATGTCTCGTGCAACCGTTCCCCAGTCACCACCAAGCTGAATCCTTCTAACACCGTGTTTCGCACCTTGCGCCGCATTTCTGGCGCCGAAGGCTCGCATGACACCCGGAATCCCGGGATGGCAAAGCGCACGAGGTCCATGAAGATTTGATAACTCGCGGTTTGTGTTGCTCGGGGGTTGTTGGGAGAGTAATCTTACCTCGCTCTCGGGCTTCTCAAAGCTGATGTTCAGCTCATTCATCGCATCATGGATGGTCTTGAAGGACTGAACAATGTTGTTGAAGATGACGGGTTTCCACTCGAGCTTCTCGCTCTTGCTGAAACCTTGTGTATAGATGAGCTTCATCTGCTTCAGAATCGTTGATTTTCCTGACTCTCCAGCGCCTGTGAATGATGCCAACAAGGGCCATTGTTAGCCAGTTGCTCATTTGAAACAAAAAAGACCCTCGTCCACATTGGGCTGGAACGCTTGCCGGGAGGATCGGCGACGGGACGGGAGCTCGACAGACAAAAGGGGGAGGGGGATTCACATACCCAGCAGAAGAAGCTTGACTTCCCTCGTCATCCGCTTCTCATCTTGGCGAATCTGCTTATCGATCTCTCTCGACCGGGCGACGCCGGTGTCGCCGTCCTTGCGGCTGCCAAAGCACATGGTGTAGGACTGCGTCGTGTATGTGTGGATGGGTGCGCGGTAAAAGGAGCCCTCGATGCCTCGGGGCTCGGGGAACGACTGATTCCTGCGTCGCGGGGAGCGTCGGTCTTGCTCTACGCTGAAGGGAAGCAGCGCGAGCTGCCGGAAGGATAGGATTGAAGTATAAGTCGTCGGTCTTGCTAACGGCCGGGATGGGTCGAGGAAAACCGGATCCGAATTGCAATCGCTCTCAGGGTCGCAGCGACATTCGCGGATGCCAGCGACAGGATGGGCCCAGCCAGATGCAAGATAGAGTGTCGGATGCGAAGGAGAAAGGCGAGCGAAGGGACGAACAGATCAAGACACACGGTATCTGATGTTCATGAGATAGAAACAAAGCAAAGCAAACAAGCAACCACAAGCATGGAGGGAAAGGTGGTAATGGTGAGGTTGCAAGATGGGCCGCCTGCCTCCTGGGACATGGTCTAGCAGTGGTGTTGCGAGGCGAGAGCACGGACGAGACCCATTGGCGGAAATGGACATGGATGGGGATGAGATAAAGCCAAGGCCAGCAAGCCCCCCAAGCGGGAATAGAATGCAGCTGGATGGGATAGGGATTTGAGCTGCTAGGCTGCAAAGCGAGAGTGCCGCGGTACCTGTGCTGGACGTTACTTGGACCGGGTTGCAGGGGAGGAGGCGAGGTGATTCGCAAGTGGGCAGCTGCAAATGGGGAGTGGGGCCAGCGTAAGGTGCAAGACAGGCCTGAAGAACTGCTGCAGCAGTCCGTGCGGGCCTGCTGGGCTGCTAATTCCTCCGAATTACCGCTAATGTCGAACCTCTGTCGGGGTCTTTTACGCCACCCACAGTGGGACAGGCGACCCGACCTAGCTGGCCCGCTGGCTGGGTGCCTGCTTCCTGCGGCTAGCAACAGCAGCCAGGATGGAATGATGGCTTTGGGGACTGATAGGTTGCGTAGCATGGCCCCCGCTGTATTCAGCAGCCGTGCCGAGTGCACAGAACTGAGCAATCTTAGGGGTTTGCCAGGCTGGTGCTACCTGGCCCTGGCATCTGCCTGTGCTGGTATCACAATGCGAGGACTAAGGATGCGGTAGCTACAGGTCTTTAGCCCATTCTCTGAAGCAATCGGCCCTAGAGTAGCTTCAAGTTGCATCACCAGCCAGCTTCAGCCTTCTGAAAGCCACCCCGCTGCAGTTCAGAGGCTGCAGGTTCGACCACCAACTATCGGCCTCCTAGCGGATTAGTGGGGCTCTTGCGTCCGGATGGGCGCTATTTGATCAGCGACCGGCAGAAGCTCCTACAGGGGGAAACACCGGGCCAGGCGCTGTGTCCGTTTCTGGTCCCTGCTAACCACGTTCAGTCTTTCGTCGACTTCGCTTCGCATCTCATTCCTGGGGCTCTCAGCAGCTTCGCCCAAGGCAGCGTGATGGCTGACGAGGAATGGCTACACAGCAATTAGCAAGTCGTCTAGCTACGCGCGTGTCGCAGGCCTATCCCAGCCCAGATGATGGTATGTGCGCCAAGCGAGGAAACATTCATTCTACTTTGGAAGAACCTGTCATAAGCACACCCTGGCAGCCTGGTATTAACTAATATGCCTAGCCTGTCCGTTTTGGGAGGCGTGTTTATCCCCAAGGTCACATCGGCTTGGCCTTCTGTAACCCACTACTTTCGTTGTCTATCAGCAATGTTTGTTGTTTTCATGCATGTCAGCAGCGGCTGTGTAAGAGAACCCAAAAGTGCCGGAGTTGGCGCAACCATAGAGACGGCAGAGAGGCCGCGATGATCATGATCACCATCAGCTGCTAGACACATGTTCACACTGGAGGTCTTGGAGCATTCTGCTACAGGGAGAGCATGACCTGGACGGACACCATCCGCGTACACTAGCAGGGGCAGATGCGTGCGCCATCTTTATAGTACGCTTCTTTCTTTTTTCCTCTTGTCGCTTGACTGTCAACGCAGAAGGAACTTCGCAGACCAGCCCTTGATTCAATGAGCAAGCCTTTGGGAGATTGAATCATTTACAGGGCGCGGCACGGTAACGGTACCGTTTTGGTCGGGCCGAGCCATGTGCACAAACAAGCGACATTGTGATATTCGTACCTCCTAACTGCTGGAATGGAGGGGAAGGCCGAGGAAAGAATAGGAAGAAAGATATGATCTGAAAAGGGATATATCATCTGCATGTCACGGCGAAGGATGATGGACATACATACGCAATGGCACCTCAGTCATTACTGTACTCTGCTGCGTCACTATGCACCTCAAAGGGGACATGGCAGAATGCAGGAGGGTAATATTGGCTTGGGTAGGGGTCAGTAAGCCTTGGACACATTGTCCTGCAAGGAGGGTAGGGTTGCAACCTGCCGCGTGGTAACTTCAGACTCTATCGCCATAGTACGTGTATTGGCCATGTGCAGCAACAAAGACCAGGCCAAATTCTCCTGAAAATAGGCCAGGGCCGTTAAGGGGGCTGCTGGCTCTCCCTGGCCCAAACTCGACCTTTCGTGTCCCAGCCAGCCCAACATCGTCCAAGCGTTTTTTCTCCGCTAACAACCTCAGTGGGCCGATGGGAAACAGCTTCATCAAGACGACCCCACGCGAACCTAGAAGCCATGTGCCAGGGAAGATGCTGGATGGAGCCCACTTGGCCTCGCTCAAGGTGCCTCCTCTTGCTGGCAGGATGGATGGTGGCTGGCACCAGCTAGCCGTAGCGAGGCCACGAGAGAGCGGATCACCCATCCAGTAGAAAGCCTTTAGTAATGCTGGCACATGGCAGGCAACTGAAATGCTTGACTCGTGTGTATGCAACCTCGTCTGCTTCGAGTTATCTCAACTCATCCCCTGCGGGTCTCCCAGACATTGAGCCCACCCACCCTTCATCCCGTCCCCATGCGAGCAGCATGTTTCACTTTTAGGATGGCCCCGCTCCCTAGCCAATGGGACAATATCGGATGTAGTGGTACTTGCTGACGAGCTTGGCATCAATAAGGCAACCAGGCCTTGGTAGCTTGTCTTGCCTTGCGCATCATGCTCGGATTCACATTCACCCAGTCTGGGACCCACGCTTATGATCCTCTCTTACAGAGAAGCAGTCTCATGCCGTGGCTATTTTTAGGGAGATGGAATGGGGACTCATTGGACAGTAAATGAATCAATGAATGAAGGACCTGACTAAGTAGATGCGAGAGTATTACCCGGACCGAAGCAAAACATGCCCACAGCAAGGCCATGTGCATTCATAGCTTTAAGATGGAGATCAGCAAAAACGCCTTAATGGAGCAAGGAGAAACTGCCGAATACGGAGTTTCAGGCGGCTTACCAGCCAGTACACCCGGATTCCTTCCGAAGCGAGCCATCAATAGCACAAGGATGGCTTCACTCAGTGACAGCGCGCTCCTCTCTGTCTGTGCGGCGTCGCGGGGCCTCGGGGTTTCGGAAAGGGAGCTTGATACCCAATGCGCGCCTGTTTGAGATCCCTACGGCGCGCATTGGCCTCTGATGATTTTATTTTATCCTCCTAGCGTCGGTCTGGTCTGTGCTGGGTTGAGGGATAATGCTCGGAGAGAAGAGCGTTGTCGACCGAACCGGCCGGCCGATCTTCGCACGAGACTGTGTACAGACGGTATGGCACAACGATCCTCTCAACCTAACGGCTTGGCCATGTAGAGGTGACCAACTGCTGCGTAAAAACTGCCTGTTTGCATGGGAAGGATGAGCCTGGACCCCACCCGCGCGGGCGGTAGCAACTCAACTGCGACAGTATTACTCCAATGCTACTTAATGTATGCAGAACTCGATCCTTTGGAAGCCTCGTGCGCCTAAACTTAAGATCCTTTGGTCCCTGCGATGGCACTGTCCTCTGCCATATCGTATGAGTTAACGCTGCCCTCCGCTAAACAGGAAGCTGCCGATCCGGCCCGTTCTCCGACCCAAACCTTGTGGCAGTGTTAAAACAGGGACACTGCCGCTCTGAGCTGCACATGCACTTCTTGATATTACTTCGGGTAGGTGGTAGACAATGTTGTTGGTTCCATCCGCGTGTCCTGGACCTACCGCATTCATCCTCTCTCATATTACCCACGAACTTTACTCCCGTCTGCCGCCTGCATAACCAAATCCAGCGGTAGGTCGCCAATGGTTTGCCAGAAGGGCCGGATGTGGGTGGTGTAGTATGAAACCTTGCTGTGGCCAATGAAGGCCGCACTGGAATGTTTCCATGGATGTTTGGTTCGGGCTCCGGCTAGAAGGTGGTTTCACAAATGTTTGTACCAGTAGGTCGGCTATCAATGGGCTATATGCAAGACGTCGTCCCACCCTGGAGCAAAACTCCACGAGTCTTTATAACCGATAGGTCCTCAGCAAACAGAGCATTGGATATCTCCTGCGAGTGGGAGCCCAAGAAGATACTGGACTCATTGACGAATGGTATCTGAGACGAGAAATTCGTTGAAAAAACAATCAAGTGGTTGAAGATTTTACACCTACATGTTGAACTACCCTGGTTGGGTTGAGGAAGCTACCAAGAACTCCTTATCAGCAGAGCTTCAACCGGCTCCGAGGGAGGCTGGTATGGCATGGCGGCCGGACGGCCCCATCTCTGGGTTCTTTTGAGACAAGCCCGGACCATGAGGGTAGCAAAGCCAAGCAAAGTAGAAACGGTGAGGGACTCGGTGAACTTGATATGAGCTGTCTAGGAGCTCCCTTATGATATCATTGTCTTGTCTACTGCTAGTGACACATGGTTTTGGCTGGCCCAGTATGAGAGCTCAAAGCAGAGACAATCCCGCTTGCAATACCTTCACAAGGTAGCTCAGAGGCAAACGAAACACGGGATTGGCCGGATGGGCAAGAGGCTTTTATGCCAATGCGTATCCGGTGTGCTCGACTGTGGTCTGTTGTTCCTTGTTGATTAGCCTTCCCGGCTGCCGCGAACCCAATCAGACGCCGGGCCTGGCTCCAATGAAAGTTTTTTCTCCCACACACGCACTATGACAGCACATGCGTCGACTGCGGGAAGTGACGTCTAAGGCGGTGGATCATCTTCATGCCACCGCGTTGCTCCAAGCTCGAGTATACAAACAAAAGCCAGTCCACCGCCAGATTCCCTTCTCCGCCCCTCCCATCACCTTGAGACCCTCATTGTCCCAGCGCCTACATTTCTCCTCTTCCAGTTCTTCGCCCCAGCGCCCAGATTCAGTCACAATGTCCAACGAGATTGTCCACGAGACCATCAAGGGTAGGTTCCCAGTGAAGAAAAAAAATTCTGCCCCGCGATGCTGCCCCTCCATGCCCCTCACCCAGCTTCACGGGCTTGGTCCGTCACGATCTGCCATCGACCGCGAATATGGTCTTGAGGCAGATCTGGCACTCGAACAATGCGCCAGGCTAGAGTGTACCTATTCACGAACCTGCCATTTCTTAATTATTTCCACCGGCTGCCCAATGAGTCCCGATAGTGCCTCTTCTCCATACCAAACGACACTCGGAAGCTGAAAACTTTGATTTTCCCAACCACCCACGCGACCATTCAATACACCAACGTTCCTCAAATTCGCTGACATTCTATATCCTCAGATGGCTGGTTCCGCGAGATCAGCGACATGTGGCCTGGTAAGTCTCCAATCTCATTTCCGTCTCCGACCTCCTACTGACTTCCCACGCTCAGGCCAGGCCATGACCCTCAAGGTCGAGGAGGTCCTGCACCACGAGAAGAGCAAGTACCAGGATGTGCTCATCTTCAAGTCCACCGACTATGGCAACGTCCTCGTCCTCGACAATGTCATCCAGTGCACTGAGCGCGACGAGTTCTCCTACCAGGAGATGATTGCCCACCTTGCCCTCAACTCCCACCCCAACCCCAAGAAGGTCCTCGTCATTGGTGGCGGTGACGGTGGTGTCCTCCGTGAGATTGTCAAGCACGACTGCGTTGAGGAGGCTACTCTTTGCGACATTGATGAGGTTGGTCCCTGAACGCCATATATACACCTAGAGCTCCTACGCAATCTCTCCGGACCCAATTGCTAAGCAGTATCCGTATACAGGCCGTCATCCGCCTCTCCAAGCAGTACCTGCCTGAGATGTCCAAGGGCTTCGACCACCCCAAGTCCAAGACCCACGTTGGCGACGGCTTCAAGTTCCTCGCTGACTACAAGAACTCCTTCGATGTCATCATCACCGACTCCTCCGACCCCGAGGGCCCTGCCGAGAGCCTGTTTAAGAAGTCGTACTTCCAGCTTCTCCACGATGCCCTGCGCGAGGGCGGTGTCATTTCTACCCAAGGTTGTAGGTTCCCTTTTCTTTATTGTGGAAAGTTGTGGGGTCCCTAGGCATAGGCGGTTTGTGAGAGGAGCCTGCAAGTGCACGGTGGTTTTCCTTCTTCTCTTTGGTATCCGATTTGGATACCCTCTCATCCTACCTAGGGACTGCCCGAAGCTAGTGCTGCTTTCCTACAGCCTTCGCTTCCGGTAGTCCCGTGTTGCGTTTATTGCGTGCGAGTTTGTTTCTCTTCAAATTAGCGGTTTGGGGCAACCGTTGTGGTTGTTCCCTCTTCCGCCCTTTAGAAAACCACCGTCCACCGTTAAGAAATCTGGCTGGCTACACCTCTCTGTTTAACTGCGCCCTTGGCCCTACCTCAGGCGCACGGTTATGCTAATATCGCGTGTTGATGCAGCTGAGAACCAATGGCTCCACCTCGACCTGATTGCTCGCCTCAAGAAGGACTGCAAGGAGGTGTTCCCCGTTGCCGAGTACGCCTACACCACCATTCCCACCTACCCCTCCGGCCAGATCGGCTTCATGATCTGCACCAAGGACGCCAACCGCAACGTCAAGGTCCCCGTGCGATCCTGGACCCCCGAGGAGGAGGAGGAGAAGTGCCGCTACTACAGCGCTGAGATCCACAAGGCCGCTTTCGTTCTGCCCACCTTTGCCAAGAAGAGACTCCAATAAATGCTGTATGTCTTTTTAAGATAAAAAAGGGAGTAACGAATAGACGGTTGCAAAAAAAGGAACTTGGCGAAAATGAGCGAGCGGAGCTATTCAGGATAATTCTGATCAATAAAAGACTACGAAGTCATGGGTTTATGATAAACGAGTGCCCTATTGATTTGATACATGTGATGGAACATAACGACCATTTCTTGATCTCTTGAGCTATGAACGCTCTTCGCGGAATGAGTATTAGAACGATGTTTGATAATGCCATCTATTGGTTCTACGGCCAAGTTTTCTTATCTATTTTGGGGTTTCTAAGTCAGGATCCTCGAACTGTATCTTCCCCTTGCTCACGTCCGGATACACGTCGAACCTCCGCTGCGTGTTGAGGGCAATGTTCCTCCGCGTCTCGGCGAGCTTCTCGTCCACGAGCTCGACCTGGATGATGGCCTCCCCGGCCTCGGCCTCGTCGAGCACCTGGGCCATGGGGTCGACGACGAGCGTGTGCCCGTAGGCGTGGTAGCTGGCGTCCAGGTCGCGGGCGGGGCTGCACATGGCGACGTAGATCTGGTTGTCGACGGCGCGGGCCTGGGCGAGCAGCTTCCAGTGCAGGGGTCCCGTGGTGAGGTTGAAGGCGCCCGGGTAGACGAGGGCGAAGGCGCCCTTTCTGGCGGCGATGGTGGCGAGCTCGGGGAAGCGCACGTCGTAGCAGATGGCGACGGCGATGCTGCCGTACTCGGGCAGGTCGACGAGGGTGATTTGGTTCCCCGGGCTGAGGACGTCGGACTCGTGGAAGGAGATCTTGCCGGGGATGTCGATGTCGAAGAGGTGGACCTTGCGGTGGGTGGCGAGCAGCTTCCCGTCGGGCCCGAAGATGAGGCTGGTGTTGTGGTACTTCTTGGTGGAGGGGTTGAACTCCGGGATGGAGCCGCCGACGAGGTAGACCTTGTTGTCGGAGGCGATGCGGCTCAGCGCATGGTAGGAGGGGGCTTGCTCCTCGGAGGGGGGCGAGGGCAGCAGCGTCTCGGCGTACTGGGGGAAGTAGTCGGTGCCGTAGGGGGAGTTGAAGCACTCGGGGAGCACGACGAGCTTGGAGCCGCCCGAGGCGGCCTTGGCGACCTGGTCTGCGGCGTGTTTGAGGTTGGCGGTCTTGTCGGCGCCCGAGGCCAGCTGGATGCAGGCCAGCTTCAGCGGCTTCTTGAGCACGGCGGGGGAGGACATTTTGCGCGCAAAGGAGTACCGTGCGGCTAGAGGGAGGTTGCGGCCGAATTGGAGAAATACAGGACGGATGAGTGAGTTGCAGAACCTTCGCATGGCTCGACGGCGGAGATACTAGCAAGAAAACTGCGCAGTATGGATTGCCTTATACGTCGGCCGGGAGCTTGCGATAGCGGAGGGCTCTGAGGCGTGATGGGATGGATGGTGGGGTTGTTTGGCGTTGAATTTCATGTTATCGGCAAGCGGAGTCCGTCTCCGACAGAGCCCACCATATCAATTGGACCCGGGCCCCATCTTAGCTCCGTTCACTTTTGCACTTGAAGGCCCCGTGGCGTTAGATAGCCGCATATGGTTCTCGAAGCCTTCGGTGACTAAATACCTCTGGCGGTACATGCTCTTGAGTTCACGAGACGAGGTGGGGAACAGCTTGACACAAGACGTCACCGGGACTGAGTGAAGGCGATAAGATAGGGCCAGTTAATTCTGGTGCCTGGGCGCAAGTGGGGAAACTTGCTGGCAGTGCCACAATACAAGGGATGCTGCGCCTATCGATAAACATCCGGGCTCGAGCTTGGACGCCTTAGGTCAATGTGGCATTCCACCTACCTCGTCTCCTTCGTCCCATCATCAGACTGCTGCCTCAACATCTCACCAAGTTGCCAGAATGACGAGATCATATGTGTACGCCTCAGGACTCGTGGCCTTTGTCGCCGGTAATGCCTTTATTCCCCTCTCCCAATTCAAAATCCGCCACCCCCGCCGGCTTGGTCTGCCTCTTGGTGATGACGTCGCTCTAGCGGGTGGGGAACCCGATGATAAGGCTCGAGAATACTGACAATGTATTGTAGCGACCGTGTTGAATCTAGCATCCATCGCCGTGCCTCGATGGATCACCTTCTCGGTCCATGCCGGCGACGAGAAGATTGAGCGGCAGATTGGCCTGCACAAGAGCTGTTCGACTCTGGATTCGCCGCACTGCCGCGACTTCCCGTACAAGGACCTCTGTCTATATGAGGACCGATATTTCTGTTCCATGTGGCGGACGGTTGGGTTCCTCGAGTCGTTTACAGCTCTGATCTGTCTGGCTGGTCTGGCTTGCTTTGTGGTCATCATCCGTGGTGGCAAGTACAAACGCGAGACGGGCTGGCCGGTCCCGGCATTCATGATGACCCTGGCGGCTACCCTTCAGCTCGTGGTCATCTCTATTGTTGTATGTGGCATATCCCCCAAGTCGGGAGGGTTGATTATACCGGAATCGCTCGTGATATACATGTATTGACGCTTGTATATAGGCATACCTCTACGATCATGACGAACAGTTCACGGTTCCTGGATGGCATCTGGATGCGTCATGGGCAATGGCAGTATCAAGTGCCTCCATCTGTTTGCTTTCTGCCATTGGAATCTCGGCTTCTGCGTACTTGATTCCACCAGAAGGAGGCTGTAAGTTGAATCCTGATCTGGCTGAATTTGAGATTGTTCAGAAAATTAACCGCGTTTGTGAAAACAGACACATTCCTTGACGACCCCTTGAACTGAATGAGGAGGGCTTGACATTCTCTTTCTTTTAACTTTTACTATCGGCTCTGTTATACAGACATATAGGGTTCGGCGTTTCGGGCAAATTATTTCATTTCGGCCAAAGGTAATCGTAATATGAGCGAAGCAGAATACCTAGCCAATCACTTGGGTTTCATTATAGGTTTAAAGTTTCTGAGAGAAGATTTCGTGGATTCATCTTTGGCGTGTGTAGTCGTTGCAAATGCCTGGCTGTGACAGTGTAATGCGCCACTTACCTCATGAAAATAGAAGTACACTAATCTTGTGATATATATGTCGTACTGAGGTGGAAATGTTTCCAGATTACGAGTTTCCAGCTCTAGGTATGAAGTTGGTTGCGTTCTGGTGCTCGTCTGCAGATGGCTTCAATCTGTCGAGATCACCACTCTTTAGGTCTTTGACTAAACTGCCGTGTGAGCTAGAACGCCTAACGATAATTACCAACTGGAAGAGAGCTATTTAGTGTATACCTGCTTAATCTATCGATTCATGTACTTACGCCCAACCTTATTGCTATTTAAGTCAATCTAAGTCGTACGTTTCGGACTTCCCCGCGTTGTGCGACGGCTGCCCCCGCACCCGTCATTATCGCCAGCCAGGTGATAAGAGGCTTGAAAAGAGACATTCCCACTCACACGTTGCAGTCCTTTTCCTGAGTGATAATTTCCCCTGCAAAAGACAATACAAATTACATCACTACACCCGCTTCCTGATTGGACTGCTTCCTCGAAGTCTTGCATTTCATCGCTTTGGCTTGGGTTACACTGCTGCCAAGATGACACGCTCAACCCCCGGGCTGACCGAGGAGGAGCTCGCTTCGTTCAACAGGGATGGATATCTCATCATCAAGAACGCCCTGCTGCCCGAGACGGTCTCGGATATGATGAGGGAGACGCAGCACCTGCTGTCCTCGTTCTCGGTCGAGGACCACCCCCTCACACGTTTCAGCACAGGGACAAAGTCGGAGCATGTGGGGGATGACTACTTCCTGACATCTGGGGACAAGATCCGGTTCTTCTTTGAGGAGGACGCCTTTGATGACGAGGGGAAGCTTACCAAGCCGAAGGAGAAGGCCGTTAATAAGATCGGTACGCACGCTCTTCTCTAGGAGGGGAAAGCTAATGTGATTAACGGGATGAGAATAGGTCACAACCTGCACGGGCTGAGTGAACCGTTTAAGAAGCTCCTGGATGAGCAAGGCGCAGTCTCTCGGGGTGAAGTGGCCCCTGCGGCTGTGGCGAAGGCTTTGGGATACCGAGACCGTAAGTTTCAGAGCAGGACACTGGGCTTGATGCTGAGCCAAAATGGGCAACTGACTTGATGAACAGCGAGATGCCTCCAAAGCATGGTGATATGCAAACAGCCGGAGAGTAAGTCATATTACTGGTCCCCTAATTTGTGTCCTGGGTAATTTTCTTGGAGCGGAACTGTACCGAAACTAATCCTGATTTTTTCAATGTATAAGTTGGAGGAGCAGTCCCCCCTCACCAGGACTCTACATTTCTATACACCGACACTCCCTCGGCGGTTGGGTTCTGGTACGCGCTTGAAGATGCCACGCTGGAGAATGGCTGCCTAAGCTTCCTGCCGGGTTCTCACCGCTGGGCGCCCATCGACAAGCGTCTGGTGAGGAAACCTGGCGATACCGGGACGGAAATGGTGGACAACCAGGGCCCTGTATTTCCTCGGGGCGAGGGATACGGGCTGGAGACACCCGAGGGAGGCCTGGATGGGCAGTATGTCGCTGGAGAAGTCAAGGCCGGAGACTGTAAGATACATCCTCCCCCTTTTGGTTCTGAAAATGGCTACAGCTGACCATCAACGAAAGTGGTGCTTATTCATGGAAATCTGCTTCACAAGTCTGAGAAGAAGTAAGTTTGACTGTCATTTTACCCAATGATTGATCAAGTCCTAACGTTTTGGCAGCACGTCGCAGAAAGGGAGAATCATCTACACTTATCACGTTATTGAGGGCGAGGGATGCCAGTATGACAAGAGAAATTGGCTCCAGCCGTCCCAAGGGGGCTTCACTAAATTGTATGCTTAAACTCAATGTAGAAGAATTGGTGTTTCAGAATGATACAACCTGTGATCCTACAAAAAGACACGAGTCAGTTCAGGCCAAGAGAATAGAAGCCAGCCAAAGCAAAATGACGTTGATTCCGTGGGGTATCTATTTAAAATAATCCATGTAATCTTTCATGGGTGATACAATACATCCAGCCCTATTCCCTTGC